TGAGCCACAAGCACCCGGCTTAAAGATCACAGTTCAAAGCCAGCCCGGGCAGGAAAGTCTGTGAGACTCATCTCCAATAAACCACCAGAAATGGCGCTGTAGCTCAAGTGATGGTAGAGCACTAGCCTTGAGCTGAAGAGCCCAGGGACAGCACCCAAGCCCAGAGTTCAAGCCCCACCACCAACAAAAAAGTAAATTAGTGAGTTAAACACCAGGTTACTGGAATTTAGTATGTAGTGGTAAAACAATCAGTATCCGCCAGGGTGACTCTCCAGACCAGGGGTGACACACAAGGCACAGTGACTTTAATAACCGGAATACTTATGACCTCCGGAGAGCAAGACAATCCATCCAGGCTCAGAAAGTGAAAGATGGGCAAAAGAAGTTTACTTACACTATGTATACCAGAAAAGGGTCTTGAGACTGTAAGGTCCATTCCTGGATGGCCAGCAGACTCCACCCTCCTCTCAGCAAAGTCTCCACCCAGTACCTGCGTTACCTAGGCAACTGGGACACCTGGAAGAGGTCACATCTGCATCCGCTGAGGTCACATCTGAATTTGATGTGGCCACACCTTTCTCTGTCCATACCCTAGATAAGGGCTAGCCCAGACACAGACTTTCTCTCTCTGGTCTTTTCTAGCTCTCACTGCTCTATTCTAGCTCTCTCTGCTCTCTCACTGCTCTATTTTAGCTCTCTCTGCTCTCTCTCTGTTCTTTCCTAGCTCTCTCTGCTCTCAGCTCTCTCTCTACTCTCTTGCTGCTCTTTTCTAGCTCTCTGCTTTCTCTCTGCTTTAGCTCTTTTCTCTTTCCTCTTTCCTCTCTTGCTGTTCTTTTCTAGCTCTCTCTATCTCTCTTGCTGCTCTTTTCAAGCTCTCTCTGCTTTCTCTCTGCTCTAGCTCTTTCCTCTCTCTTTCCTCTCTCTCATTCCCAGGCCTTTCCCAGCCACCTGGAGTGCCCACCTTGCCTGATCCCAGCAGGTCTACTGAATAAACCTACCCCTTACCTGAATACCACGTGAGTGCTGCTGTTCTTACTCTGCTATCTCTTTTTAAAAACCTAACAGAGACTACCTCATCCTGGGAAAGACACCCAGAACCAAGAGCAGCCTCAACCACCAAACCTCCAAGCCTCCAATAGGCAGCCTGACCCCCTGACCTTTATTAGTTGGTCTGCAAACCTCAGCCCTCCAGAGCTCCAAAGGGGAAAGCTTTTCCCTTTCTTCCCTTCCTCCGCCTCTGCAGGCCTCTCCACTCTCCACAGGCCTCTCTAGAGGAAGGCGCCGAATGACCTCCGAAGGAGGCCCCAAATGGCCCTCAGAGGAGGTCCCAAATGGTCCCTCGAGGCCCCAAATGGCTTCCTCGAGAAGCGCCAAATGGTCTCTCCAGGCTTGCCAGGTCCTCCACAGGCCTGCCCTGCTCCAGAAGGCTTTCCCCTCCTTCCGCCTCTCCCTCCACTCCTACTACTCCTTCCTCCACAGTTTTTTTTTTCTAACGGTTTTCCAAATGCCATTCATGCTCCTCCCCCAAGCCTCTCAGTGTCCAATCACTTCCTGACAGATCACAGGTGGGGCTCGACGCCCCACCCCTGCAGTAGTATGCCCCGCCTTTCAGTGGCATGGCAGGCCCCTCCGGGCAGTGAAGTCAGCTTCTCAAGGCCCTGCTGGGTCCAGTGGCCTGGTCTGTGGAGCTGTGAGGCTCGCCTCTCGATGCCCCACCTCCTCCAGCAGGCCGGGCCACAGGCCATGCCATTGAGCCCCGCTGATTATCGGGGCCCCACAGGTTATTACATTAATCAAGCCTGACCTCCACAGAATCCGAGAAATGGGTGAGAGGGAAACCAAGTATAACCGCCTGCTAACGGCGTAATTCGTTTCTGTACCCCCAGCGCCAAATTCCTGCTACCTGCCCATAATTCTCGCTTGCTTGCCACCTGCGTGTGGCTTGTGTCCTTAAGTACCCAGCAGATCCGTATATCGGGGCTGCATTCTTAAGCTCTGCCAGCTGAATGCAGACACTGCGCGGTAATAAAGACTCCTAGCCTAATTGACCGAGTGTTAGGGTGTCTTGTTGGGAAACTGGGGTACTACAGTAGGTATATATATATATATGTGTGTACATATGGATTCTAACCACTTCTCCTACCCCCAATATTTTCCACTATCTCGTACAGCCCTTTTTAACTAATGTAATCCGCGTCCATGGAGCTGCTGCTGCTGGAAATTGCATGTAAATTGAATCATAAATGCAATACTGTGGCTACCTCATGGAGAAAAGTAAAATCTCTGAACCTTTCACTTAGGCCACGAATTCCCAGAGTGTCACAACTGCCAAATTCCAGACCCTGCAGGCCGACTGAGTGCAGAAAGTCATTAAAGACCTCCCGCTCTAGACTACATTACCCAGAAATCCTGGCGGCTCTATTTAACTTCCGGCGCGAACAGGGCCTCCTTGTCCCGCCTCTCATGGAACAGCCATCCATAGTGACCGTGGAGGACGCTTATCTCCAGAATATCGGCCCCAGCCTACTGTGAGACAATCACTCCAAACTGGACTCTGGGTCCCGAAGGTTTGGGACCGTAGTCCCAAGTGCGGGGCACAGTTGTTGGCCTGCTTAGGGTCGTAAGTGGATGAATGCCATTTTCCCCGTGTAGCCTGGCCACGACTACAATTCCCAGAAGCCTTTGCAAGAAGAGCGCCTTCCCCGCTCCCCCACCCTTCAGCCCGCCTCCTTGCTTGTTCAGGGGCCTTGGGGGAAGACAAGTACGTGTGGTAAGCGGCCTAATCCTTTAGTGCTCTGGGGTAGGAGGTGTGGAATGATGGCTGGGTGGGAATCGAATTAGCTGGGAGCGGTCGCGAGTTGTGGGCATGTGTGTGTGTATAACTATGTGGCTGCCAGTGTGATTGTTAGGGTCCCCTAGCGGGTGTGCCACTGTGCATATTTGTGCCTATGACAACACACGTGAGCTGTGACTGCCCATTCTTGTTGTAGGTTTGTGGTTGTAACAAGGTGGATCTGTGTGCGTAGGGATGTTTTGTGGCCCTCTGACTGGGCTGTGATTCTGTGTGGTCCTATAACTCTGTGGTGACTGTGTTTGGGAGTGGGAGATAGGAAATCACTGATTTTTGTATATTCCAGTCTATTCTTACAAGTGCCTGTGTGTGTGTGTGTGATTGTGTCGGGGGTTACTAGCAGTAGGTATACTGGGTGCATGTGACTGTGAAGGATGTGTGATTGTGTAACTTCACGTAGCACTTTGTGTGGAGATGGAGGATGCATGTAACTGCCAAAGTGACAGTGTAGATGTCTTGGTAATGGTGGATTATTTGAATGTGCATTTTTGTGTAAGCCTCAATTGGGGAACTATAAACTGCATGGCTTATATTAAATGTCACATTGTGTCCATGTTGTATCATTGTGGGGTGTGTGTGTGTGTGTGTTGGTGGTCATGGGGCCTGAACTCTGGGCCTGGGCGCTGTTCCTTAGCTCTTCAGCTCAAGGCTAGTGCTCTACCACTTGAGCCACAGTGCCACTTCAGGCTCTTTCTGCTTATGTGGTGCTGAGGAATCAAACCAGGGCTTTATGCATGCCAGGCAAGCACTCTTATCACTGAGCCACCTTCCCCGCCCTCATTTGTTGTGCCATGTCTGAGGGTGTCTATAAATGTATAGATGAGTAGGTAGGACTTTTTCTGTTTCCCCTCCCTCCCAATCCTCTGTGGACTAATAATATATCATTGAAGTTCACTGTGCTGTTTTCATATGTAGTCAGTTTATGTCAAAATTATTCACCTGCTATCTTTCTTTTTCCCTTTCCTTTCCCCATTCTCCTCCTATGTGGTCTTTTATAGAGATTTATATCCTATGTTTATCCACATATGTATATATAATTATGTACACAGGTGTGTATATACATATGTGTATATATAGTGTGTGTGAGAAGGTGGCTCAATGGTAGAGTACTTGCCTTGAATGTATGAGGTCCTGGGTTTGATTACTTAGCACCACATAAGCTGAAAAAGCTGGAAGTGGCACTGTAGCTCAAGTGGTTTACTGCTAGTCTTAAGCTGAAGAGCTGAGGGACAGCACTCAGGTGCAGAGTTCAAGCTCCATGATGGAGCAAAAAAAAATTCATCCAGGTGCTGTGGCTCATTCTGAGATCTGAGAATCACAAAAGCAAGCCTGGGCAAAAAAAGTCCATGACTCTTATTTCCAATTAACCAGTAAAAAGCTCAAAGTATAGGTATTGCTCAAATGGTAGAGTGTCAGCTTTGAGTGAAAAAACCAAGTGAAAGGACCCCAATACTAGTCCTTACCCACAAAAATACTTACATGTAACAAATGAAAACATTAAAGTTGTAAAGGAAAGATAACATGAACAGGAAAGGGTTTAAAACCAAAAAGATTTTTTTTTTTTGGGTCCGGTCATGGGACCTGAACTCTGGGCCTGGGCGCTGTTCCTCAGCTCTTCAGCTCAAGGCAAATGCTCTACCACTTGAGCTACAGCGCCACTTCCGGTTTTCTGGTGGTTTATTGGAGATAGGAGTCTCACGGTCTCTCTTCCCCGGGCTGGCTTTGAACCGCGATCCTCAGATCTCAGCCTCCTGAGTAGCTAGGATTACAGGTGTGAGCCACCAGCGCCCGGCCCTCCCTGAGAAATTTTTGTATCCCAAATATCTGGGTTTGTTTTTCTCCCTAATAACTATCACTTTATAACATACCATATATTTTACTCATTTGTTACTCTTGTTGATTGTCTGCCTCCCGACAGGATATAATTTTTAGAAGAGCAGAGATTTTTTATCCACACAGAGTGCTACTGAATCCTCAGTGCCTCTACAGGTCAATAAATGTTTGTTGAATTAATAAAGAAATAAATTGTTTTAAATGTAAAAAAAAATTTCATAGGGGTTAGGAATATGGCTTAGTGGTAGAATGCTTGCCTTGTATGCATGAAGCCGTGGGTTCAATTCCTTAGTGCCACATGAACAGAAAAAGCTGTGGCTTAAGTGGTAGAGTGCAAGCCTTGAGCAAAAGAAACTCAGGGACAGTGTCTGGGCCCTGAGTTCAAGCCCCAGGACTGGCAAAAAAAAAAAATCCTCCAAGAGTAACTTCATTTTTTTTCAACCTGTGTTAAGTTGGCAGATGAAACATTTTTTTTTTTTTTTG